TCGATCACACCTGCTTTCGATTATTGGAAAGGTTTTGAGTATTTAGGCTTTGAAAAAATATGACATTCCAAACATAAATTTATATTAGCATTTATGCATAACACTAGTCAACAGTCATTTTTCTGCAAGATAGACATTATTTTTTCCACTGCAGTGTCTTTTTGGTACCTACGCAATTAAATTATACACATTCATAAAATCATGTTTTTAACGGCCAATCGCATTTTTTGACACCTGTAGCTCGGTAGGAAAGTGTTTTTGGATACGTCGCTAAGACCAAAAGTACTTGTCTCTGCGTGGCCTACTACTCCCTTGACAGTGTTGTAACAGTTACATCATTTTCAGTATCTAGTTACAGTTACAGTTACTTACCAAAATTTTTAACTAGATACAGATACATATTTTAGTGCAGTAACTAGTTACAGATACAGTTACCTTAAACATGTATGTAGATACTTTTAGATACAAATTATTTTTTGCTTCCTTACACGGAGAAAATAAAACAATACTCAAAAAACTTTTGAAAATAATATTTTACGTGCAAAATATTGCTCACTATAGTTCCTGGCACTACTTATTGATGTTAAAAAAATACTAATTGTTGTTGTCAAAGTAGCCCGTGAGGTTTTATTAGAAATTATTTGATTTTAAATAGTACATCGACGTTGGCGTTGACATATTATTGGCATATTAAGGATATATATTTAGGAAGGAAGGGTATACACATATTATATAATTGGTATTCAATTAAAAAAATTATATTTGTATCTTAACAAACCAGTTACTAAAAATTTGTAACTAGTTACAGTTATAGTTACCATAATGGGATAAATAATAATAATAATTATTATTATTATTTATGCTCCACAAAGATACACAATTTTTGCACAAGTCACACAAAGAGTAAGTAACAAAAAATAATAAATAATGTATAATGAAAAATAAGAAATATTACACAGATAAAGGTAAATAAATTACAATTACAGGTAAATACCAAGATACATACAATTACAGACAAGATGATTTGCATAAAAACGACTAGATTAGGATAAATCACAAAAATTGTTGGATAAGAATTCATCCATTGAATAAAATGCTTTATTAATAAGATAGTATTTTAATTTAAGTTTAAATTGTTTTATTTACAGGTTTCTAAAAGCTAAAGGTAAAACATTAAAAAACGTATACAATAAAAATTAGGTCCATTCCTGGTTCTATTGGCTTAGTCCCATCTCGGGACCTCCCATCTCGGGACCTTTCCCAACTCGGGACCCAGACCCTAAGCCATAAAGTTTCCAAAATTAAAAAGTCCCATCTCGGGACCTATACAAGGTAATACATTTTTATACCTGTCATGAACAAAATACTTAAGGCGGCTGCACGGCTTTTTGTTATTAACGGGACACTTTAACTGATTTTATATTAACAGCACAACAAAACAAAAAACAAAATGAGCAAAAATCAACAAAATGGACAAAAATGCAAAAAATTGTAAAGAAAACTTGTAAAAAATAGATATTGATTAAACACAGCAAAAATTAGCCAAACTCAACAACACAACCCTACCGACCCCGCCCCATTGGCCCCCCCATAGGATTAATTTTTAAATGTTTTGTGTTTGTTTATCCATAAAATAGATTGAAAGATATATAACTTTCTAACGCTTAAAATATTATAGTTTTAAAAATATCTTTGCAGTAGCATAAAATAGACGCTGTTTAATAATTTTGCAAAATAATACTTGTAATATTCCTTCAATGCTTACATGTAAATACTGACCGCGAAGTAATCCTTTTACTTAGGTCCTCAGATGGCACTTTTAAACTTGTACCTGTAGACTCGGTCCCGAGATGGCACAGAAACAGGTAAATTTTCCCTAGGTCCCGAGATGGGACGACACCGTTCTATTTAATCTATTCCTTTCTAGACAAATATCCCGTCTGTTTCTAGTAGGATAGCCATGTACACTGTACATTGTACAGTGTCCCGGCTATTGTAAATTTGTAGATGCCATATCTGTGTTGACTCAACAAGTGCAATATATGCTGTTCTTAAGTAAGATTTAGACAGAATATGAGCAAGATTTCGCAATAAAAATATATTAGCAGTTTTAGCAACAGCTTCAACTTGGTTATGCCATAATAACTTAGAGTCTATGTATATGTATACCCAAAAACTTTCTACGAGGTGCACCTGGTACACATGTGTAGCCGGTAAGGTTAGATGTGTTTTATGAGCTCGGCGATTTTTCGTTCGTTAAAAGAAATGGATCAAAGAATTTGTATCCATGAGTCTGCTATAAGTAAAACAAGAGTTTACAAGTGGTATAAGAGTTTCCAAGATGGCTGTGAAGACGTTGAAGATGACGAACGCCCCGAACGCACAAGCTCATTAACCGATAAAAACATGGAAAAAGTGGAAAAAATGGTTATAAACCATCAGAAAAGTCGCTGATGATGTTGGTATATCGATTGGCTCATCCCATGAAATTTTTTCGAATGTTTTGGGTATGAAACGCCTGGCAGCAAAATTTGTTCTAAAGTTGTTAAATTTTGGCCAAAAACAATACTGTAATGAAGCCCCAGTCTCCATATTCGCCAACCATGCCTCTGTCTGACTTTTTCCTATTCCCAAAAATAAAGAGAACCTTAAAGAGCCGTCGTTTTGCAAGCATAGATGACATTAAAAGCGCATCGCTGAAAGAACTGAAGGCTATCCCAAAGATCGAGTTTTAGAAGTTTTTCGAGTATTGGAAGAAGAGCTGGCACATGTGCATAATATCCAATGGAGACTATTTTGAAGGCGACAACATTAATGTAGACGAATAAATAAATATTTTTTTCAAAAAACGAAAATTCCCGGTATTTTCTGAACACACCTCGTATGTTCGGTCAGTTCAATATTTGTTTTGATATTTGGGATATTTTTTAAAGTGAACATTATATTGACTAGTTACATACGCAGATACATTAAAATTATCTAGATAATGTAACTAGTTACTTGTAACTAGATACGTTACAACACTGCCCCTTGATTGGTTACCATTTGTTTCATGACTCTTAACCGCTTAGATTTTGAAGAAATTCTGTGAGTTGGTTGGTGTTGACAAATAAAAAGGCTTTTTTGTTTTGAATTGAAATTACGGTAATTCAAAAATTAATAGTGTATTATGTATCAAGTTAAATAAACGTCATTTTAGTCACGTATTTAATTTAGGCTCGAGCAAGCTTGCGAGCGAGTGCTTAATTAAATAGTGAGTGCCTAGAAAAGTTTATAAACAAGTTGCATACTACATTCTACTACAAATACTTAATATTATCTAAAAAATGATTTAAATTAAATATTTGTATAAAGCGACATCCATACAAAAATAAAGTAACCATCCATCCATCGTAATTTACACCATTAACATTGAATGTTATTATTTTAATTAAACTTAACAATTATTGATACTTTAAAATATTAAAATAACTTCAAAATATGATTAGGTATGTTACGAATATTTTGATTTTTATATTACTTTATTTGCAAAATATTATTACAAATTATTAAAAAATTTTACACGAAGGTACAAAAAGTGACAGTTTTATTTATTGGTATTCCCGTTAGAATTTCTAATTTGGAAATTTACTGGCAATAAAATCTCAAATTTTTCTGTGTAATTTAAAATTTAACCCTTTAAAATAGACTAACAATCGATATTGAAGCAGTTTTTCACAGTAAAAGAGAATAGAATGTTTTATGGGCACCGTATGCAAAATTTTGAATGCGACATCAAAAGGTTAGTACAAACGTTCATATAATCTTTTCAAACATTGGTGTCAGGAAACTATTTAATACTTTTGTATTTTTGTATTGAGATAATAAAATAATTTTTACATTTGATATTATTTTACAAGAAAGGTACTTTATTTTAATTATTGTATGATATTTGACAACTAACTTAAAACTAACTTCAGCCCGTGACTAAAGCGTCATAAAGCCACAACTTGTCAATGTGTAATTTAAAGGTCATGCAGACATGTACTAAAATGGACGTTTTAAAGATGGGAGTAGAAAACCGATTTTTTATGCATTGCCCAGATAGCACAAGAGGTACCCAGGACGTCCATTGCGGGTCCCACATAGGTCCGAACGTTCCAGACTTATATCGGAAGTTTTGGGTACGTCCAGTCTCTTACTTATTTGGGAAAATTATAGCGGATATACTGGATACGTCCGAAGGACGTAATTTTTTTTTTTAATAAATAAGCATTGTATTTCCAAAGGGTCTAAGTGCCAAGTTGGTTAAATAATATATTATCATTTAAAAATAGTTTGTGTCATGCAGAATGACTTAAAAAATATTTCAACATTAACATGTGCAAAATATTTGTTTTTAATTGATAACTCACAATTTTATTTTTGTCACTTAGACCCTTTGGGAATACCACTCTTTAATTCTGTAAAGCTTGTCCAATAGTCCAAATAAAGCATTTCAGGATGGCCAGAGGATGTCTTACTTAGGACGTTCTGGGGACCAACGATTCGGTAACATCGGATGTCTCTGGAACGTCCTGGGGAAGGTTCAGGACCTGATTCGGACGTACTTGGAACTTACTAATGTCTGATACAAGATATACTTAGGACGTTTTTAGTACTTCTTTGTGCTATCTGGGTGCTAACTTCGAAAGGAGATATTTCAGCTATTAATTCACCCAAAAGAACAAACAAGTCAATTTTAATTAAAAGTAAACCTATATTCTATTTCTTTGCTCAAAAATAAATTTTGAAAATGTTTTGGCTTTTTGTAATAAAATTGTTTAAACTCACGCGTTTTAGTTTTGCTCAACGCCAACAAATAAAGTAATCACTGATTACGTTTTAAGTAACATCTTCTAAAATTTTATCTATTTAGTACTTATAAGTACTAAATTTAAAAATTCACTTCTCTCCGTATAGGTATTTGCATGAAAATAAATAATGACATTCAAATGCATAGTTGTAGAATTCCGCACTAGATACGCTGAAAATAGTCGGCCAGAGAAGTGAATAAGTAAAGCACACGGAATCAGAGCTCCTGCAAGTGAAGGGTACTCGAGCAGACAAACTGCAAGCTATCGATCAGGTAAAGAACAACATTTGGTCGCAAACTATAGAAAGTGTCTAAGTGGTGTCCAGTTGTAGTGCTGCTGCTGTTAGTTACCAAGGATATAGCAACATGAGAGCGTTTCTTTTTGCAGTGGTTTCCGTTCTTTCCGTCTCTTTCGGTAAGTGCCATTGTTTGCCTGATTTTTTTTGCAAATATTAATTTTATAAAAATCGAGTTTCATGTACAAAGTCTCTTATATTAGTATTTGTGTCACTCTCACTATTACAGCTGTTTGTTAATTTATAAAATATTAAGTGTGTAATAACGCCTTCGGCTATTTCATGCGTATTCAATTAAAATAATACTTACATATATAAATGTTTATGTACTTTTATAGGTAGGTAATTTCATTTATTGTTTAATGGAGCGCAAATACTTTTTCTTTTTTTAAGGAAATGCGTTGTTTACCAGTTTAATCAAGTTCAAGAAACTATACTTAAATAATTTCTATACTGGAATCTTATCATTAACTAATATAACTTAATCCTGATTATTTAACTTGAAACAAAATAAATAATTTTATTACATTTTTCGAACTTACCTAAATTAAATTTATACATTAATAAAGTTGTTCACCTTTTAATTTAAAATCAGGTTGTGTAACATTGCCATATTTAAAATAATTACCTAGGTATTTTGTCAGCAAATAATTAAGTGGTTATTGAAAATACATTCTCTATTGGTCGACAATAATTTACATATAAAATTTGCCTACAATTTCTTACATTATATCAAATTTTTTAATAAAAAAATAAACTTTCTAACAAAATTAATAATTCTTAAAATCTAATTTCTAAATGCCAGAAGATTTAAGCTGTTAACAAATAGAAAAGCAACATTAATTTTCACTAACTCACAAATCAAATTTAACTTTCACCTTTTAAAAAATATTGTCACTTTGTTATGTATGATCACGATTTAGGAATAATATACAGGGTGGCCCATCGAAAACAGTCCAGCAAGTTTTACGGCTTTGTATGTAAAAATAAAAAATCTTCGGACCCGTATACTTTTGTTTTCACCCTGTATATGTTACCGCCAATATCCGAAAATAGTAATTATGCATAATAAATAAGCATTTTAGTTATTATGCGTAAAGCCTAAAGTTGTTAGTTATTATGCATAATAAGAACTTTAGGAATTATACATAATAACTAGGTATTTCAGTTAATATCCCATGTGGGCGGGGAATCAGTCCATTAATGCATTAATTAAACCAAAATAAGGTTTTTGAAAATAATGAAATGTATATTTATTAATAAGAACAACATTGTTTAGTGTCACATTGTTTTATTTCGAAATGTGAATAGGTAAGTTTAATATAAAATTTAGTGTAGCCTTTATATTAAACTAATTAGATTTTTAAATAGGTATCTCAGAAATATGTTGATGCCTGAACATTTAGCAAATTATTTGCTGCAAATAACATATTTTCTAATAACATTACGTAGGTAAAATAAAGGGAAGATATTCTAAAATCTACTTATTTAACAAAAATGACTTACTATTCCATAATACTGTAATCCGAAGTTATTTAGATTAAGATATTAACAATCTATTACATAGAAACAAGTAATAAATACTCAGGGCTGGCAAATATCACGATCATTTTATAAATATCTAAATAACTGATATATTACCGATATATTTCAAAATTTGTAAATATATTTCTTTTTTATTATAACTATTTTGCTTAGAGAATTAAAGATAGATCTTTAAAATTCAAAATTACTTAATATAATATAATTTTAAAACTTTATATACATGTAAATTTGCAATTTAATTCTATTCTATTCAATAAAAGTTGCTATCACAATAACAAGTTTTTTTAGTACTAGAATGTATAGAAATGTAAAATGTAATTAAAAATACAAGTTTAAGAATATAAATACATAATATATTTTTGCTTTTGCAACTTAAAACAAAAAATTGAAAAACTACAACAGTCAATAGAAAACAACAACTAAAATAATATTTTTAATAAAAAAAACAAAAAACAATAAAAGGAGTAAAAAAGGCTGACTAGAAACAAGTAAGTTTAGGATAAAATCAGTCTGGCTAATGGTAGATCCAGATCCTAATCTTCATTTTTAGCATGTAAATGTTTTTGTTGCTAAAGCCAAACCCAGTCAAGATGACGTTTCTCTAAATGGTCTCTGTTGCGCAAATATTTAAACAAAAATAGTAGTTTTTCAGCTTTTTCACATTTATAAAGGGTGGGCCATCTATAAGTTGAATTTTAAACTACGTGCTACTATTATTAATGAAGCTACTATTATTAATGAAGCTTTCAACTTAAGCGCCTTGAATTGTTGACAGTGGTTTAGTTTTAACCTTCCGTTTACAAAATATGCACCGAATAAATTTGGATCAACGTTTCGAAATACTCAAAACTTACTTTGAATGTGACTGTGATCGCAGAGACGGCAAGAAAATTGCGTTTGGAAGAAATGAGGTGCCGTCAAACCAAAGTATTACAATTTTGATCAAAAAATTGCGCAGAAATGGAATGCTGGTGGACATAAAACATGTTTCGCATGCTCGTCCTAGACGTACACCTGAAGCAATCGCTGCTGTGGCCGAAAATGTACGCATGAACAACATCAACTCGGCGCAGATGTCAACAACTCGGCCTTTCCCGTACCACTCTGAAGATGATTCTGCACAAAGACTTCGGTATGTTTGCGTACAAAGTCCAGCTTGTTCAGGAGTTAAAGCAAGTTGACCATCTACAACGTTTTCGCTTTGCTAAGTGGGCTTTAAATCAGTTGAACGATGACCCTAATTTTGCAATAAAAATCATCTTTTCGGATAAGGCGCATTTTTACCTCGGAGGTTATGTCAACAAGCAAAACTGTAGGATTTGGGCCACGGAAAATCCACACGTCGCCGTAACAAAGCCTATTCACCATTTAAAACAAAACATTCAAGCTCAAATTGCCTAAATAGAGCAGCAAACTTTTGACAAAGTGATCGAAAATTGGTGTTCCAGGATGGGCTACTGCCGAGCCAGCTGAGGTGGCCACTTAAATAAAATCTTTTTCCATACTTAATCAGAAGAAACATTGTATCAAATAAAGCAAAATTCGTTGAAAAAAAATCAATTTTTCTTGTTCTCATTGCTATTTTATAATTCAACATAAACATGGCCCACCCTTTACTTACTGATGAATAGAATTTTAGAAAAAAAAATGATATATGTATAATATACATACATTGTACATATATTGATAGATATCAGTATGTTTATCCTGCCAGCCTTGTATATACTAAAATGTTTTTATTAATACAATAAAATGTTATTATTAAGAACAAATTTGGTATTGCATAATACAAAAAATATACCCAAAACTTAAAATCTGTTTAAATCGTTTATTGTTAAATCAAGCTAGCTGACTTTTTTCTATTTTGAGTTCCTTGAGTTTGCAACAGTTACTATTGCATAATCTATTGCACTATTTTTTGCAACAAGTACTGTTTTTGTAGAACTTAGTACAATTGAATATTTGGTAACCTTGCATATTTTATTTTGACTATTTCCCTCGTCCTAATTTCGACCAATCACAAACGCGCAATATTGAATTACAAATGGTTTCTAGGTGGAAAAACTGTATGACAGCACCTGTCAGCAGTTTATTCGAGTTTACCCGCGGCAAAACTTGACAGCTGTTGTCAACAAAAATTACAATTTATATTTTAATTGTTAACTGTTACTCATGAAATAGTCTTGTCAAATACCATTCGGGCATCTAATTTTTCCTGTGAAAAAAATCAAAAAAAACACAATGCTAAGTAATATTTTTTAACAAAATGCATTCGTGCAGGTGCAAAAATCCTCCTCTTCGACTCGGATTTTTGTTGCCACCAGCACTCATGCTTTTTGTTAAAATATTACTTAGCAACGTGTTTTTTCGATTTTTTTCGGAAAAATTAAATGCCCTTATGATATTACTTACGAGTAAACGGCCATTTCAAGCGGATGGACAGGACAAATCACAAAACTGTTTTTATAAAAAAAATTGTAGCTAATTTATTATATATTATTTTTGCATCAAAATTGTCAAATATATTCATCTATTATTAGGGTATACATTAATTAAAAAAAATCGCAAGAAATATTTTATAAAAGTAGAGATAATTTCAATAATTGACAGGGATGGACGGGACAAGATAAATTCTTTTTTTGTCCCGTCCACACCTTTCAATTATTAACATTATATCTACTTTCATAAAATATTTCTTGAGATTTTTTTCATTTAATATAACCTAATAAAAAAAGAATATTTTTGGCAATTTTGATGCCAAAATATTAAATAATAAATAATCTACAATTTTTTTTATAAAAACAGTTTTGTAATTCGTGCTTTTCGCGCACTTGAAATGGCCGTAAAGTGTTGGACAAAAAACTTAACAGATTGAGAAGTGGCATCAATGCATTGCAATGCACTGATTCACTCCACCCACAATGGATCTTAACTGAAATATTTAGGCATTATAAATAATTTCGGATATTGGCGGCAACATACAGTGTGACCCATTTGTTTGCGACTCTCCCCTGTAAAATGTTTATTTAATGTGCGATTTTAACTGAATTTGTTTTAAAGTGTGGATCTTAATAAACTGTATTTTTTAGCAAAATTGAGAGTAATTGTTTAACGCTTAGTTAGGCGTGAGGGGTGCCCACGATCCCAGCATATTTGTATTTAACTGTATCTTGCTTATAAAACCCCATATAGGTCTTATGTATTTAAGTATTCCTTTAATAGTTTTACAGTTTTGTTTTACAGTCATCAGCGTTTGTCAGTTTTTTTATGGTATTTCTTTAAAAAAAATGATATGCTCTTTTGCACCCGACGCGACAAATAGTGCAACTTGGACTTGGTAATTTCTTTAATTTTTGTGGTTTCTGTTATAGTGAAACAAGTCAATAAAATACTACATTATATATAACCTTAAAAAATTAATACATACTTATTGAGAATAAACTGAAACGTCAAATTTTTCGATACAAGTGGCTCAAAATCTCGCAACTGAGCATAATGTGTCAGAAAAAGTATATAATCTTTTCCAAGACCCCCAAAACGAAAACTGGATGAGTCTACATAGACAGGAAGACCAGATCCACCAATAGGTGCTATTTTTGTCCAAAAAAAAATGGGACAGAAAACTATAAAAAGTTTTAACAGTTGTGCAAAACTCATTTGCGATCTTTACTCTAGCTTCTTTTTCTATCGAGTTTGACTTATTGAAAAATTTTAAGTAGGAACGATTTTGTAGCTAAATTGCACAATAATTACTATTTACAAAAATTATTTTGTCAAGTTACCCATTAAAAAAATTGAAATAAATTTAAACCAATAGTAACATGGTATAAATATTCTTATGCTTAATTTTAACAAATAAAAAAATTAATAAAAACTTAAGAGGTGACAAAAATCTAATTGTAGAGATTTTTTGAATTCTTTTTTATTTAAGTTTCTATTACGTTTTTTATTTGTCAAAACTAAGCATAAGAATATTTATACCATGTTACTTTTAGTTTTAACTAATTTTATTTCAATGTTTTTGTCATGAATAACTTTTATAAATAGTTATTATTTTTCGTTTTTAATTTTGCTACAAAATTGTTCCTACATGAAATTTTTTAATAAAATTTTAGATTTTTTTTTTAAATCGCTTGTATGAATTATTAAAAATTTACTTTTAAAAACTGACATAGTAGGCCTTTTTTGTAAAAATATGGCGTTTTTTGCTCCCTTAATAAAGTTTTTCAAGATCTACACTTTAAAACAAATCCGGTTAACACAATACAGGATTGCACCAAGTATTCTTCTATGTATGGGTATCTTTTTTATATCAAGAGCTACAAGATCGTTTAAATTAGACAAAAGTTGCTTACCTAATTACATATTTATCCACATTTTTATTCAATTTGTGATTTTTTTCGCCTACTGGAGAACAAAAGATGGTGATGGAACCTAACTCGAAAAATATGTAGTAGCAAAGAAATTGGATGAAAATGTAGATTAATGTGTATGTTGTAACATGTAAAACTTACTTTTTTACAAGATTCCGATTATTGGTTTTGAAAGATTTTTAGTTTTTTTTTAATATTTTTTTTTCTCCATTTAACTGTAGCTCTTCAAATAGCCATAGAAGGATACTGCATGTAGTATTTTTTTACTCTTGTAAAATTTTTAATTGAAAAAAAAACACATTAATATTAATATACCTAATTAGGTATATTAGGGTGGCCCAAAAAAAAAGAATATTTGTTTTACTCGTCAAAAATATGTTTATCATGCTGTAAGAGCCCTGTCAAAATATCAGCTCGATTAAAAAAAATTTAGGGGTCGCTCAAGATTTTTTAAAATTTTCAAAATCGTCAAAAATTGAATTTTTGTTTTATTTTAATTTTTTTTCTCGTTTCGATATTATTTTTTTGATTGAAAATAATAAAAATTCTGTAAATTTCAAATTAATATTTTGATTTCTAAAGGTCGCTAAATGTTCGTTGATATTTATATTCAGAGGTCGCTCAAAAACATTCAAAATACTCTTGATCGACCTTTAGAAATCAAAATATCGATTTGAAATTTTCAGAATCATTATTATTTTTAAATTAAAAAATAATATCGGAACGAGAAAAAAAATTAAAATAAAAAAAATCCAATTTTTGACGATTTTGGAAATTTTTAAAAATCTTGAGCGACCCCTAAAAATTTTTTAATGGAGCTGATCTTTTGACAGGGCTCTTAAAACATGACAAACCAACATATTTTCACAAGAGACGAGAGAAAAAATATATTCTTTTTTTTTGAGCCACCCTAAGATACATATTAATATAAATTTTACTAGAGTAAAAAAACATTTGCATTTTATATTTCGTGAAAACTCTATAAAGTTGTGGAGATTTTGTTTAAAGATTATTTTTAATTTTTACTTTAAAATTAAGGACACCTCAAAATTTTAACTTTCTTTTTTAATCTCATATTTATTTATTTTTATGTTGCATTATGGTTAATACAAAATTCAAGATAAAAATAAACGTACATTTTAGCTTACGCAAATTTAATAATGAAAAGTTTATAAAACATGTTAAATTTCAATTGAGGAGTTTTTTGACAATGATTTTTTGTTTTTTATTAATGAACGCGAAATCGCAGGGAAAAATTTTGTTAAAAAAAGATCCTCCTTAAAATTGTTTATAAGTAAATTGTTAAATATACCTACCAATAAAGTTGTGGAGATTTTGTTTAAAGATTATTTTTAATTTTTACTTTAAAATTAAGGACACCTCAAAATTTTAACTTTCTTTTTTAATCTCATATTTATTTATTTTTATGTTGCATTATGGTTAATACAAAATTCAAGATACAAATAAACGTACATTTTAGCTTACGCAAATTTAATAATGAAAAGTTTATAAAACATGTTAAATTTCAATTGAGGAGTTTTTTGACAATGTTTTTTTGTTTTTTATTAATGAACGCGAAATCGCAGGAAAAAATTTTGTTAAAAAAAGATCCTCCTTAAAATTGTTTATAAGTAAATTGTTAAATATACCAATAAAGTTGTGGAGATTTTGTTTAAAGATTATTTTTAATTTTTACTTTAAAATTAAGGACACCTCAAAATTTTAACTTTCTTTTTTAATCTCATATTTATTTATTTTTATGTTGAATTATGGTTAATACAAAATTCAAGATAAAAATAAACGTACATTTTAGCTTACGCAAATTTAATAATGAAAAGTTTATAAAACATGTTAAATTTCAATTGAGGAGTTTTTTGACAATGTTTTTTTGTTTTTTATTAATGAACGCGAAATCGCAGGAAAAAATTTTGTTAAAAAAAGATCCTCCTTAAAATTGTTTATAAGTAAATTGTTAAATATACCTACCAATAAAGTTGTGGAGATTTTGTTTAAAGATTATTTTTAATTTTTACTTTAAAATTAAGGACACCTCAAAATTTTAACTTTCTTTTTTAATCTCATATTTATTTATTTTTATGTTGAATTATGGTTAATACAAAATTCAAGATAAAAATAAACGTACATTTTAGCTTACGCAAATTGAATAATGAAAAGTTTATAAAACATGTTAAATTTCAATTGAGGAGTTTTTTGACAATGTTTTTTTGTTTTTTATTAATGAACGCGAAATCGCAGGAAAAAATTTTGTTACAAAAAGATACTCCTTAAAATTGTTTATAAGCATATTTTTTAATTTTTTTTTTAATTTCATTTTTTAAGAATTTTTATTTTACATGCTTTGGACAGCATCGTATTTCTATCCAGCGTCGTGACGCGTTGGTTCTGCCTCAATTAGAAATTATTAAAATCAATTTAAAATACTTACGAACATCCTACCTATCTATATTTTGCTTTTTTCTTAGTATAATATTTTAAATATAAAACTCTCGGCATATAATTTATTTTTTTGTTTTTAGCACATGGAGGAGTGTTAGTTAACGACGCTCCATCATGTCCTGAACAACATGGCGTCCAAGCCTATGCTCATCCTGAGTCCTGCAACATATTCTTTCTATGCACCAACGGCACTTTAACCGTAGAACAATGCGAGAACGGACTTTTGTTCGATGGAAAAGGCGCTGTACACAACCACTGCAACTACCACTGGGCCGTTGACTGTGGAGAAAGAAAGGCCGACCGTAAGGTTTTATCAACAAAATACTGTTTTTAATTAACGATTGTCTATTTTTTTAGTCACCCCAATCAGCACCCCTGGATGCGAATATCAATTCGGATTGTACCCTGATACCGATGGTTGTTCCACCCATTACATCAAGTGCGCTTACGGAGAACCAATTCCCCAAGAATGTGAACCAGGTTTAGTTTATGATGAACGTATCCATGGGTGCAATTGGCCTGATCTCTTGTTGGAAAAATGTAACCCAGAAGGTAAAGACTATATTATTAAACCAAAAATTGTGTTTGGAGAAATATTGCTAAAAAGTTTCTTCATGCATATATTTTTTAAATGCTTTTAGTAGCTACTACGAAGATAGTCAAATAACCAGGTAAAAAAATAACTGTTAAACTTAACTTAAATATAATATAAATAGGTTTTTTTTTAATATATATATACATTCTTTATACGTTTTCAATTGAGAAAGTGGCTCAGTCTTGAACTATGGAGAAAATTGACCTCTTTCTCCACGGGTTATTATTGTCCAATGAGACGACGATATTTTAGTACAAAGTATTTGTCATTACTATGACGTATTTATTAATAGTTCTAATGCTGTAAGTTTGATACCGCAACGGTTGGCAATGCATGGCTGATGACACGTCATGACCTTGCGGTATCAAACTTACAGCGCGCTGCAGCGTTCCAAGTCTATGACGATTATACGGTGGTTCATTATTTTCTTAAAAATCAATTGACACTGATAATTGTCATTGAATCTGTGTTTGTGTACTAAATTCTTTAATAAAATTTTAAAAAATATAGTGTTCACAATGTGTAGTAATTACACAATGTCATATGTGAAAACTCGGCTTATCCACTTTTTAATAAAAATGAGTTAATGGTGTCTGTACATTTAACATCCCCCTATACCCTGAAAAGTTCATAATATTCTAAAACACCTTATTCCATTTAAAATTGACTATAGTTCCAAAACTTGCCTTATCTATTGGTTATATCATGCAGAACGTAGCTCATACGTATGTAATTTTAAATTATTTTAAATTGGTGATATACCTTTTTAATCAAGGTATAAATGTTTTACTTATACCTATATATTTAGTTTAAAGTATTGTGTTGGCCTGATATGAGTTACTCTGAGTACTCACGTGTAAGGTTTTTGACATTTTACTCAAAAACAACTAATATGGAAAAGCCGAGTTTTGGAATGCACCTCCTCGTGTTATACCTACGAACAGTTTTAAATATCTTTACCATTTTAAAACCATGTCAATGATCAAATTGCAAATTTAATAGATATATATGGTTTAAAATAACTGAGGGTGTCTAAATTTGTCAAAAAGGCTTTAAAAGAGTAATATAATCAAAATTATAATTATAATAAAAAACCTTGTTTACTTCCATGTTTATAACAATGTGTAATATGTGTGTTTCCATAATTCTAAGTGATCTTTTAAATACACATGTCAAGCGTTATGAACGATATATCGTATATACAGGGTTCCCCATAATAGACTACCCATTTTATTTTATTAATAAATTCCCTACGAGATAACTTAATAAGTTGTTCTCTATGGGAATATCTTCTATAGCAGGGCCATATTACCCATTAGGCAGGAAAGGCAATTGCCTTAGGCGCCACGTAGAAATAGGCGCCTTGTCCCCAAGCAACTTAAAAAAAAATAAAAATTGTTACCAAAATGTTTATTTTTTCCAAAAATAAAACAAACTAACAATATACAATTGTAATAACAGAATATTTTTTACTGTTTTTATTATTTTATAAAAATTTACCTTCCTTTGTAATAACGAGGTGTAAAGCAGACAAAAATCGTACGGCAAATTCACTTCTGTAGCACTCTTTAAACTATTTCAAAACCCCCGTATGCTCCAAGCACACGGATTCCTCTTGCATCGGGTACCCGCTGTGATGTGCTGCTCACCCTAGCGGGTACGAGCTACTAGAGGAATTTCCTCTGAGGAAACTGCTGCCGGAAGGACTTGGGTGTTTTCGCGTTTATTCAAGAGTGGCACTTCTATGTGTTGTGTGTTTGGTGATAGCAGTCTGTGTTCGATAGTTAAGGTTGATTTAGCCTGGCTTTTAAATTAAATTACGTTACGTTAGATTACGTTACAAAAATGCTGGCTAAATCCACATTTAGATAGTGTTAATTTTTCTGTTTGTTTTAAGGTATTTCTGAAATTTTAATATTAAACTAATTACAATAAACCAGCAGTACATCTAACATACAAAACAGAAAATTAAAGTTGATTTTATTTTTTTTTAAATACTTACTAATGACATCTTGCAGAAAAACGCAGTTATAAGTCCTAACACTTTTTATTTACATTATATTTGTTATTTTTGTATGTTATTTATGTTTTTTATGTATTTTTTTAATGATAAAAAGTATTCTAATTCATAGGGAATAATTAGGTTATAATGCTCGGGCGCCCTTAAGCTAACAGTTTGGGGTGGCTCTAATAAGCTTTTTTAAAATTTGCCCCGGGCCCAGTAAGTATAGTATCTAGTTATAGGAGCCAAATTTTTAAGTGCCTAAGGCGCTCAATTGCCTTAAGCCGGCTCTGTTCTATAGTCTTTGGGATTTAAGTTAATTCTTAATCAAGTAGGCGCCTGTCACAAATAAGTTTTAAATTAATAATTTCCTGGAACGTCATTTTTTCTACGAGAAGTTTGTTAGTTTTCATCAATAATTATTTAAATTATTTAATATTTTTTTTGCTTTGAGACATTATTTAAACATCCGTTTGAACTTTCATGGATTACTCAGTCCAACAACGTGGGTTTTTTGTAGAAACTTACATAAGAAGCAATTCGATAGAAGAAGTTAGGCGTGAATTCCCGCGTCAGTTTAATAACAACAATAGGGGTCACGCGCCAAATCGTAAAATTGTTAAGTTATGGGTTCGTCATTGGCGTAAAAATGGTTCTGTACAAAATTTGAAGAACAGTTCGAAGAACAGTTCGTACACCAGAAATATTGAACGAGTTAGAATTGCGTTTACGACTTTACCACTTTTTATCTATTATTGAAAAATCTGTTGAAGTTGGTGGAGGTCATTTAGAAGACGTGATTTTTAAAAGTTAAAATTAAATTAGCCAAATATTTATAAGTTATCATATATATATATCATATATGAACAACAGGTTTTGGGCTTTTTAGTCAAGTTAGCTTAAGTTAGTTATCACTTCTCAATTGTTAACTATAAAATGTGTTTTGTCGTCAAAATAAAGTGCTTTTCTTGCAAAATAGTAGTTTACATTCAGAGTTGTAATTAATGCATTATTTTTCAAATGCATTACTCATTATTAAAATAATGAGTAATGTATTATTTTTTACACTACTCATTTTTAATTTGTAATGAGTATTTTGAGATTTTCAATTAATTTTTGTATGTAAATGAGTAATGGACTCACTTTGCATTACTCATTTTTTGTTTTTAATGAGTAATGAATGAGTATTGAATTGCTCATTTTTGGTGGGCAAGGAAGATATTTTTATTGCATGAAACATTTTTTATTTTTTAATGGGTAATGTATTGTTTGACATTACTCACAAGCAGAATAAGTTACCGCAAGTGCGTAATTCCTTTACCGCTCAAGGAGTTTTTTAAATTTCACATTGACAGTTCTGACAAATATGTATTTAATTTTTTTACCATAGTGTTAGAAATAAACAAAACATGCAAAAATTCCCTAGCACAACTGTTATGTAACTGTAACGATTGTACGACATTTAACAACTGTCAACTAACTTAAAGCTAACTTCAGCCTGTTACTAAAAACCTGTTGCTAACTTCAGCCCGTGAAGCACTATAAAGCCATAGCTTGTAAATGTGTACTTATTTAAAAGATCATGTCATGGAAACATTTACGACAATGGCAAGTTTTAAAGGTCGGAGTAGAAAAAACTAGTTTTTCTACTACCTTACTAGAAAACTTAATTTTCCACCCCCGAGCGAGGGAGGAAAATGCCACTTTTCCTCCCTGGGAGGAAAAAAGTTTTCCTCCCTCTTTTTTTTTAACAATTTTACATTATCAAGAGTTTTTGTACCTTGTCTAGACCTATTTGATTTTGTAGGAAAAAGATTTACTCCGCGCTTGTCCAACCATTCTTTTTACAAACTATACGTATTCATTTTCATATCGCTCTTTCGATTTTTAAGGAAGGAAATTAATTGCAACTATTCTTGCCTGTTTAGCAAGATCTTGCGGCAGGTCTTTTTCGCTAGAACTCATTTTCAAAACGTAGGAAGAATTTCAAATTTATGATAAACATTCTAACAGCTTATAAAAACTGTTGTTATTACCAAAAATACCCTAGCAACAAAGCGTTGTCAACATAACGTCGGCGACACAACACCTACTTAATATTTTGTCATAATTTTATAGCCCTATACCGGGTTAGTAAAAGGAACCGGATCGCTTAAAATGTCTTAAAACTGTTAAAAGGTAATAGAAAAAACTACATACCTCAGGAGGAAAATGCGTTTTCTCCCTTGAATATTGAATGCCCTTCGCTTCGCGTCGGGCATTAAACTATTCGCGGGAGGAAAAGCACTATTTTCCTCCCATGGTATGTAAATAGCTATTGTCTATTCCCACATGACAAGCTGTGACTTTATCTCGTTTTATTCACAGGCTGAAGTTGACAACATTGACTTTCGGGCTTTTTAGTCACGGGCTGAAGTTAGCTTTATTATAAATTGGTAAAAAGAGAGTTTAAATTCGTCCGAGAGTTGTCAAAATTTTAACAAATAAAATTGGCTTTAAATTCTTCTTTGAGTTTGTCGTAGATAAATTACCTAGTAGTAGTAGTATTCAATTTGTTTTAAACACTCGTTTTTATTAAACACTTGCTCGCAAGTTTCGCTCGTGCCTAATTAAAACACATGACTAAAATGCCGTTTATCAAACTTAATTGACAATATATTATTAATAATAATTAATATTTATTATATAATATATAAATATAAATAGGTATAAATATAAATATATATTTTGTTTTCGTTTTGGAAGAAGTACAAAATGCAATTCCTTATTAAACTATAGACAATTGTTTATTAAACGCTCGCTCCGCAAGCTTCCTTTGTGTTCTGTGTTTGTGCCTAATTAAACCTTGTGAATAAAATGCCGTTTGTTAAACTTGTTGCATAATAAACTATTAAACTTATAAACCATAAAGTATTGTAAATAAAAACCGGTTTTAGTTTTAGTAAAACTGCTACAAAAAATTATCAATAATCACAAAAAATAGAGAAGCAATCAAGTAACAAACATTTCAACTGCAAAATAAAAATCCTATTAATTAGGTATTAGTAACTAATGCTCATACTTGTTTTTAGCTGTTGTCGGATTTAAATGCCCAACCAAAGTTCCCTCAGGAAGCCCAGCTGCAAAATTCTGGCCTTTCCCAAGGTTCCCAGTGCCCGGAGACTGTCATCGTCTTATCACCTGCGTAAATGGACACCCACGTCTGATTTCTTGCGGAGATAATAAAGTTTTGGACGATTCTACTCTCACCTGCGAAGAACCTGAATTGGTACCACACTGCGCCAATCACATAAGAAAATAAATTAAGAAAAAAATGCAAATTTATTTAATTATGAAAGTCAATTTATTCATAATTAAATTAATTTGTTAAATGTATAAGAACCTCCAAAATTAAAAAAAAATGTATTTAAATTAAATAATTTTGTAGATATCAATAATTATTTTGTAAATATTCTTTATTCCATGTACAAATAGTATCTGAGTATACCAACCTACAAATATGTACTTTGTCCATATGTAGTTATTCTATCCAAATTTGTATTTCTTTCTTTAAATTATTTATTTGTTTTTTTAATAAAAACTAGTTTCTCTCATTTTTTTCATTATTTTAAATCATAATAATATAACATTTAAATGTACATGAATCCATTAACCTTAATTTTATCCAAATATTCCAATTAGGAGATCCATTAAGTCAACTTTATTTTCGCATTTTAATAAAACCGGTCTGTTTATACACATTCAAGATTTATTTTTTACGTTTAAGTCAACAATTTTTCCATGCATACTATATAGGATGTCCCATAACTAAAAGTAGGTAAATTACGCGACTTTGGTTGCAAATGGTTTTATTTAAAAATCATGTGCGCTTCTTTTGGACAATTTAATTAAATTCGTGTTTTGTTTTTATTTATTTTCAAAAATCACAATAAGAAAATGTAATTATGTTAAATAATTAGTTTAAAATTATATTAAATAAACCTAAAAACAACTTAAAAAAACATACGTGGGAAAAACGTTTTATGCTGAACTAGCCAAAGAACAGATCTTCTGGCGGTGCCATTAAGTCCATCCTTAATGAAAAAGGGCAATCTTAAATCATCTTAAAATAATAATTATTATTTGTTACTTATTTTTATACAAACTTTCAGTGACTTAAGGAAAAGGGCAAGGAAACTACGCATTTCTTACATGGAGACTGGCAATGTCGGGGAGGCAGTAAAACAATGACATTGAGGATAAATTACTAGGGAAGTTAGTGGTGGAGGGATTACCAACTCTTGAACTTGCATTGCATTGGCCATCCTTTAAGGTCGACACAGGCTTTGTGGAACAGAGAGGCAAAAAGAGGCCAAGAGAAAGTCCAACTCAAACTCTGATTAGTAGCGAAGGTGTAGTGTTCTTTGGTGTGGAGTTTTTAAAAGGTATTGATAAAACCTAAAAGGGATTTTAAAATTAAACAAAAAAGTTTTAGCTTCCATTTGAAGAAAAAATTTGAGATGAGTTTTTAGATTTATTTTCTTTATTTTTCGGCCATTTCAAGCGGATGGACGGGACAAATCACAAAACTGTTTTTATAAAAAAAATTGTAGGTAATTTATTATATATTATTTTTGCATCAAAATTGTCAAATATATTCTTCTATTATTAGGCTATAAATTAAATAAAAAAAATCGTAAGAAATATTTTATAAAAGTAGAGATAATTTCAATAATTGACAGGGGATGGACGGGACAAGAAAAATCTTTTTTTGTCCCGTCCACACCTTTCAATTATTAAAATTATATCTACTTTTATAAAATATTTCTTGCGTTTTTTTTTTTATTTAATGTATAACCTAATAAAAGAAGAATATTTTTGACAATTTTGATGCCAAAATATTATATAATAAATAATCTACAATTTTTTTTATAAAAACAGTTTTGTAATTCGTGCGTTTCGCGCGCTTGAAATGGCCGTTTTGTGTAATAATATTATATAGGTATTTGATATTTTTTATTTGAGTCGTCTATTTTCAAGCGGCCATCTCCTTTGAAGAATATTTGAAGTAAACGGCAAACAAACATTCTAAACAGTAATGGGTAAAAAAATATATATGGGTGAATCTCACAAAATGTCCCCCGATGGTGTTACCCCGTGATATTTATTAAAAATAATTGAGTTTGACCTACACTTTTATTGTGTTTTGATCTTTCATAATTAAGTAGATATTACAGCTCAGGTTCCAGATTTTTAACCGCAATTAATAATTTTTACAATGTTTAAAAAGTCTAAAACCTATCCTAAACCTATCCTAACCTCCGTGAAGCTATCTTCCGTGAAGCTCTAATATTCAAAATGTATAATGGAAAATCGAAAAGTGCGATGCAGAGCATCTTAATTTTGAAATTAAGAGCTCATCTCTTCACAGGCTCATTTTTCTATCTATATGAAACTTTTGAGCTTGGTTCCGAGAAAAAAAACAAAAAAGTTTTTTTGAAGCTAAGGTCAATAAACATTTTTATAGGAAATTTAATTTTCTACAAAAAAGGTAACTTGTGTGTTTTTTCGTAAACCTAGCCATTCAAAAGATATCTTTAAAAAGTTTTTCAAAATTTTATATCCCGCAGAGTATAGGTATAGTATTATAAAATGATTAGTACATATTTTTGTTCAAAACTAATTTATGTACCTACAAAAAAGGTCTCCTTAGTTTTTTCGATAAATTTAAGCGTTTTAAATATAATCGCAACTAAAGTTCAACTTATACTTCAACCTATTTTAAAAGTCAAATTAATAATTACATTACCACATTTATACCAATAAATTATTCAAGGGAGAAGTTTAAAAAAATCCTTGTCATGTTAAGGTATCCTAACCACTACACCATACGAGATATTCTTTTTAAAGGTTGTCCCAACAAGACCGCAAGTTTTAATTTTGTAATAAAAGTCATACTTTATTTTAAAGATTGTTTTATTTATATTTTAATATAAAGTTAATCCACTGCAATTAAACATGGAAAATTTTAAGCGGCAAATGACCGCCCCGACTTTGGCTCTAATTCTTTTAGAGAAATGTGTAATGACATTTTCACACAATTGGTGCTTAATTTCGTTAATAACTAGCGTATACAAGGGAAACCTCAAAAGAAGAAATCACAAGGCGTTAAATTGCACGATCTGGCTGGCCAGTTCTGATCTCCATTACGTGAGATGACGCAAACGGGAAACTTTCCTTGCAACAACTGAATTGTTTCGCGTGTAGTGTGACAGGTCGCACCATCCTGCTGATACCACATGGGTTCCGTATCCGTATTGAGTCCATGAAAACTCAGTTAGCATGTTACGATAGCGTTCGCCGTTCACAGTAACTGCATTTTCTGCATCGTCCTCAAAAAAGTATGGCCCAATTACTTCACATGCCCAAAATCCGCACCAAACAGTAGGTAACTCTTAATGGATGCATTGTCTTTTCTTGAATGACTCGAGGATTCTCTTTACCTTAAATCCGACAATCAATTCAAGTAAAAGTGTGCTAAACAGAAAATTCTTCGAAAAATCGACATGTTGCTGTTGCACCCAAGAAGAAAATGTACGGCGTGTCGCATGGTTCAATGGCGTCAATTCTTCCGTCAATTATATAAGCTTGGAAATGAAGATCATTTGTAAGAATTTAACTGTTCAAATGTTCAACTGCTGCGAACGATGACGGATAGATGTTTCTGGATTCTCGGCAACACTTTTACTCACTGCGGAAATGTTTTCAACATACCGACTTGTACGGTAACGCACTACATAACCTTTTTGCTCAAATTTGTTTATTAGTCTTTGAACGATATCGTAATTTGGCGCATTGTGTCCACGCAATTTACGAAATGTTAAGGCAAAACATTATCCAAATTGGTAATGCGTTTTAACAATAATAATTTGTTGTTCGACGAATATCGTTTCATGGCTACTAATCGCGAACTGTCAATATTTTTATGGCGTACTGCGAACAACATGAAAACAAGGTACTTACATTTAAAATCGTGCGTTCTTATTGAGACACCCTCATTAACCCTTTCGTACGCTATGTCCACTGGAGTGGACATTTTTTTTAACACCATTTATATTTTTAAATATTAAATATTTTGTCTCAAAAACATGTTGTCCATTATAGTGGACTAGACATAAAACACAGTAGATGACCGTATAATTACTTGACCTCTCTAAAGTAACTTTGTCCATTCCAGTGGACATGTCATATTATGAAAAAAAAAAATGAAAATTTTTTTTTTTTCAAAAATATCTCAAAATAATACCAATGAATGCAACTATAACGAAAAAAAAATTTTTTTTTTCAGTAATTTAAATTTGGCTCCGAAAGGGTTAAACAAAACTTATTATTATTCCACGCGTGAGATTATCTTTGGAACGCTTACATATATCGAATAAACAAAAGAAAACTTTTTTGTAGATCATTTAATTTCCAACAAAAATATTTACTACTTATTTCAAAATCCTAACTATTCTGCAAGTTTAAAAAAAAATTAAAAAACATTTTTTTTAACTTTTTAACTTTAACCTAAGATATCTTTGGAATGGATATATCCTATAGGTTTACAAAAAAACAGAGTAGGATACTGCATATATGCAGTATCCTACTCTGTTTTTTTGCAATATTTTCCATATATTCCAATTTTTTCACACAAGTCCAATGAAAAACATTTTGTATCTCACTATATAATAAATAAAGCCCAAAACATATTCTAATAGGGAATTAAATGCTCTACAAAAAGGTAGAAAAGGCTTTTTTTAAGGTGCCCAGGAGCCAAATTTTTAATATCATATGTCAAAAGAAATAAAGGTATACTTTTTTTCAGTGCAAATAAAATAAAATTGAGTTTTGGAAAATTAGATGACCTGTCAGAGATTTACATAAAAAAAATTTGGATCCCCCTTTATTTTTTAGATTGTCCACATCTTCATCTTCATCACTTTTAGATTTAAATGTCTCCAAAATTGTAATTTATGCAACAAGAATATAAAGCGACACTTTTTGGCAGGTTTGAGGAACCTCATAGTGCAAAAAAGTGGTCTTATATTCGAGTTGCATTCAATATTTATTTTATACCATAATAATTTTATAAATTATTACCAAAAATGGGAAGAAAACAGTAACGCACTGAGCCTTAAGGCGTTTGGCGCTCGTACTTACATAGGGCCATCACCGCTAAAGTTTAAATAACAAAAAAATCAATATCGATTCTACACGTGATATGTAAGATCCAAGTGCAAAAAGAGTGCAAATTGTGTGAGGTACCTCCTCCTGGATTAAGTCCTCAAGTGTTTTACCTGGATAAAAGGTGTATGTGTGAGATGATCAGTTCCAACGAATAATTTCCTGGATTACCACACGTGCTCAAGTATGGGCTAAGGAACAATTTCATCTCACCTACCTGGCAATAATCTCGAAGTCCAAGTCTGCATAAATTAGATAATTAGTTACAAAAATTGCATGACCACATAATACTTAAATAAAATTAATACTAATGTT